CATACATACATACATACATACATACATACATACATACATTCACCATGGGCGCAGGGACGATCCCTTGCTTGGGATGTTACGTTCCCTCACACCATGGCTGAAAGGTACATTAATCTTACCTCACAGGAGGCGGGTGCCGCTGCCTTAAGAGCCGCAGACTTTAACAATTCAAAATATGCGGCTCTTGCAGAAAGCAAAATTTTTCAGCCAGTCTGCATTGAGACCTTTGGTCCAACCGATGCTCAGACTCAGAATTTTCTGAATGAACTCTGTAGCAGGATTGTAGAAGTATCGGGTGACCCATTAGATAAGAGTTATGTAAAGCAATCCTTTTCTATTTTACTTCAAAAATATAATTCTTTCTGTATTTTGGATAGAGCGTTAAAATACCTGTCTGTACATAGATTAAAGCTGAACCCGGATATGATTATTACTTCCCTATAGTTCTAATCAATTATGGGTTCATACATACATACATACATACATACACACACATACATACATACATACACACATACATACACACACACACACATACATACAGACAGACATACGCACACACATACAGATAAAGAATTGTTATTAAACGAACGCTTATATATATTTTCAGTTTGTTTAGTATTCTATTTCGTTTTTTGTCAAATTTGCCTCTTAGTGCATCAGTGTTTTCTAAATTTTTTAAATTAATAAAAATTATATTAATAAAATAAATAATAATGATAATAATATTGATAACAATAATATTATTACATTCACAATAAAAAGTAATAGAAAAATAGCAAAACGATGATGAAACATTCAACACAACAATGGTGATGACGATGACGATGATAACAACGACGACGACGATGATGATTATATAAAAGGCAATGAAACTACATATGGCAATGATGATGAGGGCAATGATGATGAAAATAAATATGAATGACACAAAAGGAAAACAAAGAAACAAAATTTGATGAATTATTTCGCGGAACACGCTCGCATCTGTGTAAATAAAGTTTATCAAAAATTTAAACACACAGAAAGAAGAGAAGTTTCTAAATTTTGTATTTATAAATGGGCGAAGCGAGCAGGAGCGTAAACCAGCATAACGATTAAACAAAAATTTGACGTTTGTGTTCTTTCACATACCTTTGTGAACATCATTTTACATTACACTGCGCATATACTGAACAATTGTTTGAGGTTTTATTTTCTTTGTTGTTGAGGCTTTATTTTCTTTGTTGTCTATTAAAATAAACAATATTTTTGCAGGCGTTAAGCGAAGTTATAAACATACAATAGGACTTGAATAATGTCGCATGGCTCGTATTTCAGCAATGATTACAATTAAAAATAATTACGTATTATCGCGCATTCAAAATTTTTCTATACCATCCAATTTTACGTTTGTGCACTATAATTTTTTTGCCTATAATTAGTATTTTTGCTGGTTGAAAGGGGTGATATAATGATGACGATGACGATGGTAATGGTGAAGATTGTGATGACAATGGTGGTGTAATGATGACGAGCTGTGGCTATGATGGCACGCAAAAAGTATGATAGCTACCAAATTAATGAAGATTATACGCGCGTTTGCTAAATAATAACATTTGAGAAGATGACCTGATTATGAAGATGATGTTCATTATTATTATCATTATCATTATTATCATCATCATTAATGTAATAGTAACGTTGATGTAAGTCAAATGCAAGAAGAAAGAATGAAGGAATAAACGGCAGGAAGGATCATGATGACGGTCGGGATGATGGATGACGATAATGATGATTGCGGATGACGCGATGCTCACGACGACCACGTGATGTCACTAGCCGCCAGTTTCGACGGCAGAAATGATAAATGAGAAGAATGGAATGTGGAAAATGTTCAGTTTAACTAATAATAACAACGATAGCTGCAATTGAGAGTGAGATAAAATTTCTACCGATAATTCCGATAAGGATGATATAAGGTTACGGAAGGCTTCACCCAGAACCATCTGGAAAATTTAAAAAAATTTTTGAAAACACATAAACCGCGGACACGCATAAACACATGTAATTTAATCATTTTAAAGTTTGTTATATTCTTTTCGTTGATATCTTGCATACACACACGTAACTTAATCATTTTAAGATTTATTACATTCTCTTTGCAGATATCTTGCTGACAAAGTGGCACTTTTTTCCAAATCTCACGGCAGTATTTTTAAGAGGTTTCAGTCGAAAACACACAGCTTATATAAAGACGCAGAAATAAGCACATCACTCACATGTGTCACAGACTGGAATATAATTGCGTTCGAAGCCAGTCACTGCAACTGTAATCCCGAACGTCTTAACAGCTATGCCATCGCATTGCATGGTCTTAAAAGATATATTTTTAACTAGTTTCACACTATAAAATAAAATCATACTCAATTTTTTTTTCATTGTTAGTCCAAATGCTGGTTTTATGCGATGTGCTATACACGAATTGTTAATTTTTAATTTGTTGACATCTCCCCTCATTTCAATATTTGTCAGCCTAACTTTGTTTCAGCCAAACAAATACCTGGCTGTGATTGCAATATTTTTTTAGAAGGATTTGATGGAAAACGTTGAGTTTGAGATAAAATGTGCTACCTAAAACGCTATCATCTGTGAAACTTTTTAAAAACTTGTTTGGATGATTAAATAATTTTTGTTTCAATGAACAAAAAAATTTGTTTCAAATAAAAAATACTTTTTTTTTCTCACATATAATTATGTTTTTGCAAATTTGAATGATGTAAAAATAATATCAATCTTTAATTGTCGGAAAAGTTAATAAGAAATGATGTACTAAACCACACTGATGATGTACTTACTTTGAAAAAATCTCTTAAAAATATTTAAAAACACAATTCTATTTTAAAGCTTATTTCATTTCATACTTTTTCAGCAACGTTTTTCCAGCTGATTAAAAGTTTTGACAAATGCGTTAGTATACCGGAAACTATTTTAAGATGAATTCGGCTGTAGGGTAGAAATATTTTCTAGGGAAAAAAAAGCAATTTAAAACAAAAAATGTTTCTCACTAATACACTAAAACATTGTCTTTAATTGCAAAATTGACACAAATTATGTAATAATTACCAAATTGAAGCAGCCTCATAAAAAATTTAGTCTTTGGCCTCCACTGCCATTGGCACAAATGTCAAAGTTGGCCCCACCTCGTAAAAGTTGGCACGCCCCTTCAAAGTTATCTGGATCAGCCCTTCCTGTTCTTTTAACATATTTTTAAAATGTCATTGTTGTAATTGCTACAATTGTAACATCACAAACAAATGTAACTTATGTGATGAGAAGAAATTAATATTATTGAGAGTTGTAATGAGACAGACTCTGAATGACAATATAACATTAAGGATCTCTTAACATTTAAAACATAGGTGCAAAAATCAAATTAAACCTACACACACACACACACACACACACACACACACACACACACACACACACACATACCCATTACCCATACACACACATACACACACACTCACACTTTCTCTGTCAATCTATCTACCTTTCACACACACATGCATATTGCAAATACATCACACTCGTATAAACTCACTCACCTACACATTCACATTTATACAAACTTACAATCACGTGCACACGTACGTACTAACAAATAAAATACGAAAATACACATGCAAATGCACAACAATACACACACACAAACACACAACAATACACAAACAAATTTACACGTACATATGCAACTACTTATGTAGATGTGTAGATGATGGTCATCATTTGTAAATCGTTTGGGTAAGAGGTACAAGTCTTCAAATGTCAATTGGCCAGTTCGCTTTCATGGAAGAAGTTATTAAGAGAATTATAAACTAAATGTGGTAAAATAATAATAATAATACTAATACAAATAAGAATAATGAAAATAATATAACTAATAAAACAATTATAACTATGATGATAATAATAACAATACTAAATGCTAATTTTACTACCACTACTGCTAGTGCTGCTACTGCCACTACTTCTTGTACTACTATTACTTCTACTACTACTACTACTGCTGCTGCTGCTGCTACTACTACTACCATTCTTTCTATCGCTACTACTGCGGCTACTACTACAACTATTACTACTACTTATAACAATAACAAGAACAATGATGATAATAACAACAGAAAAATAATGAATAATTAACTTTCAAAATAATAATATTCGAGCGTCTGTGTGTATGTGTGTGACTGTGCGTATGTATGCGTGTATGTGTGTGTCTGTCTTCGTGTGTGTGCGTGCGCATGTACGTGTACGTGTACGTGAATGAGTGTATGTATGTATGTATGAAAAGAGCGGAAGACAACCCGAACAGCAGTCAACGTGATATATGTACAGGCGACTTCTTCCTTAAACTCCAACACGCACACACAGACACACACCCACACACACACACACACACACACACACACACACACATACGTTCAGATATACCTATCTACTACATTCATGGTATGTAAGTATATTTGAACCTATTTGAACCTACAATCATACATAGTTATACGTACTAGCCAATATTCACACAGATACAAACACACACACACACAGATACAGCATAAACATCCACTTATGCGCATAAAAGCATACATAGAAACATGCGCAAAGTGTGGTAATGACGTCGCTTACTCCTTTTTTTCAGGGATGTACAAGGTGGGTATTTAGTAATATATTTAAATTACTGACTGTCATAACGTTACGCCATTCTCGTGAAATTGATGTTTTCCTCTTTCTTTAGCTAATTTTTTTTATTTCTTCCACAGATTTGTTCTCCACATTTTCCTCCCATGCCAATCATTCATACTTTCATTAACTTTCCTCTCCCTCTCTCTCTCTCTCCCTCCCTCTCTTACTCTCTCTCTCTCTTTCCTTTTTCTCTTCTCTTCTTTTCTATCAATTTATTTTTTAATTTCTTTTTCATTTTTTTTTCAAATTTATAATTGCGTGCTGGTTGTGTGGTAGGTGGAAGTTTCAATTCTTCTTATTTTTATGTTTTCACGTGCAATTTGTATGTTAAACTTCATATGTATTCACGTACAACCCATACACGCACACACAAAAGCAACTACACGCACACACGCACACTCACTCACACAGACATACACACACACACACACACACACACACACACACACACACACACACACACACATATATATATATATATATGTGTGTGTATATATATATATAATATATATATATATTATATATATATATATATATATAAATGCTATTTTTTTATCAAAATTTTCCTTATTTTTTGCTAAAAATTGTGTTTGATTGGGGATATGCGTAGGTAGATAGGTCGGCTGAACTGTGAATATATACCTCTTTCATTTAAATGTCATTTTGTTTTCTGGTTGTGTGTTTTGGTGTTGGTGCAATTTTTGGTTCTGTGGAAATATGAATGATAAATTATAATTAAAATATTTAATTATGAGTAAATGAATAATAAATACATTATAAATAATTTATATGGGTGTTTGTTGTTAGTTGAGTGCAGAGACATTTTTCATACAAGTGCCTGCTAAAGAATGTAGGAGTTCGTTTTTATGCATGCATCTTCATTGAAGTGCAGGTGTGTGTGTGCGTGTACGTATGTGTGTGCGTGTGTTTGTGTTTGTTTGTGTGCGCGTGTTGTGTTTGTGTGTGTGTACGTGTGTGTGTGTGAGTTTTATGGCAATGGCATATGCGATGTTATTTTTGTTCTAGGTGTGTCAGTTTGATTGTCTGTTTGCGTGTATGTGTATGCGTGTAAGTGTATGCGTGTGTGTATGTATGTGTGTGTGTGTGCGTGCGCGTGTGTGTTTGTGTTTTTCGCCTTGCAGGTATTAGTGATTGTCATCATTTGTCATTAAAGCCATTATTCATTTATTCATTCATCCCTTCGAAGAGGAAGTTTTATAATTTTGAATGTAATAATGAAGCGACAACAACAACAACAACAACAACAACAACAGCAACAACAGCAACAACAACAACACACACAACGATGACGACACAAAAATGCGGATTTAATAGAAACATTTTTGGTTATATGACATTAACGATGACAAAATGCTTATGTTAATATAGCACCAACTGTGGCAACATGTGTGTGTGTCATTATGACATTAACAATACCAGAAATATAGGTGGAAATATGACATTAAGAGTAGCGGTAAGTGCAGTTTTATGACATTAACAATAGCAAAAATATGATAAACGAAATTGCGGTTTAAATTATAATTTTATTTTATTAAATACGTAATGGTCATGAAGCAATAGTGCTATAAATGATAAAATCATAACAAATCAATAGCAACAACATCATTAACAACTCATTCTTAATTGTAATATAAATAATGGTAATGATAATAATAATGTAATAATAATGATAATAATAATAATAAATAGGTAATGATGCCGTAATTAGCCAAATGGTTTTCCACGTTGTTATTATCGATCCGCTGGGAAAAGGAAGAGGGAAACTGGCAAAAGAATTGGAAAAATTTTCTCCTTTTTTAAAATTAAAAGTGTGGAACGCTTAAAAATACCAATGGAAAAACGTTCTAAACAATATTCATTCATTACTTTTAACTACGCTAACGCTTATGAATGAGTACATTAAAAAGTGGTTAGTTGTGTTTTGAAGTCTATCTTTCTCTCTCTCTTTCTCTCTTTCTCTCTCTCTCTCTCTCTCTCTCTCTCTCTCTCTCTCTCTCTCTCTCTCTCTCTCTCTCTCTCTGTTTCTTCTTCTGTCTCTCTTTCTTTCCACCTTTTTTTGTATTTTCTCCCTTCTTTGCTATCTTCTTTTGTTTTTACGGCCTTATGTTACTTTGTGGGTATGCAATCCAAATTTATGCAATATACTATAGGTTGACTTTCTACGCATGATTATCATTTTCAAGCATAATTGTATGATTCCCATTTTCTCTCTCTCTCTCTCTCTCTCTCTCTTACCTTCTCTCTTTCTCTCTCATTATCTTTCTCTCTCTCTCTTTTTCTCTTTTTCTCTTTCTCTCTTTACCTCTTTCTGTCTTTCTCTTTTATATATGTTTCTAGAATATTGTATAGGTACGGTACACATTCACAAACAAAAATTGAAATAAAATTAATTTGATCATTACGTTTCATTTGTTAAAAAAATAGATGGTTAATTTTTTTCCCCACCACTGCCAACATGCAGTGTACTTAAATAACAGCAACAACAACAACAACATTAACATAAGCAAAATTACATGTTGTAGTAGTTGCTGAGTATTGAAACAAGTACTTTTATTAATATTGAAGTTACAAAGATAGTAGTAATACTACCAATAATAACACTGGTGGTGTAAAATTATATTATAGTGTGCGTATGGAATGCTGTTTTTCGAAGTATCAATAACATAACACCTTGTAGTAGTAACTCTAGTATTAGTAGCAGGTGCTGCAGTAGTAGTAGCAGCAGCTGTAGTAGCTGCAGTAGTAATAATGGTAGTAGCAGCAGCAGTAGTGAGCTATAGATTTTATTATTAGTTGTTACCGTCAATAGAGTAACAGAAAGTGGGATGTAGCAGTAAAAATTTGCGGTTATTGTTTTGGTTATTTGAGCATGATTGCGTCCATTCATTACGCTTCGCCATTCATTACGTGTTGCTGCAGTCGGTTCGGACTTCAAAAAATATTCTTTCCACTTGTTTCTTTAGCGTTTTCTTCCTCTTTATCATTTTTTTTCATTACCTTCATCATTTTCGTGATTTCAGTCATCATCTTTCTTATTTCGTCAACATCATCATTGTTGGATCACAGCCATATTTTAATACTTCCACATGTTTATCGTTATCATTTTTTGACAATCATCTTCTTCTTCATCTCCATCCTTTCCATCCCCACCTTCATCATCATTCACTCAACCTCCTACTAGTAAATTCTAGTAAGCTTGCAACATTATTCTTGTTAGCTTGTTCGTGTTTCAATAATAATTATTCTTGGAATGGTACTACTGCTACTACTAGTACTACTACTAATGGTAGCCGCTGCTGCAATTACTACTACTACTGCTGCTACTACTACTAATACTACTACTCCTGCTACTACTAGTAGTAAAAGTAGTAAGTAGTAGTAGTATTAGTAGTAGCAATAGTAGTAGTTGTAGCTTTTGAAGTTTTCATAAATTTTAAACGGTAATTAAAAGAAACTAGGAAGTAATAATTCAAAGTGGTGTCCATTAAGAAAGTGAAGTAAAAAGAAGCAAATGAATGTCCATTGATAGCCACTCTCCATATTTTTGACTCAACTGACCTTTCATATTTGCTGATGATATTTTTTTATTTTATTTTATTTCGCTTTCTTGTTTTTTTTTTAAATTTTCAAAAATTTTCGTTTTTGCTTCTGTGATATTAATTAAGATTTGTCATTTTAAACGCTGTTGCAATTTATACATATCGTTTTTTAGATTACGAAATAATTTTGGCATACATCATGGTTATATTTCAATCCGTCCTTTTAGTCAAAACAATTTCATTTTTTATATGATATGAGTCTTATTTCATCAAAGAGCAAGCACAGTTTTGTTGACTGTTTATTTTTAAACTTTTTTATTTGTATAACCAATCGATTTATTTATATATCAATCAACCAACCATCAAACAAATTAGTCACGATATTTTTTTATACAAGCATTCATGTAGCCTATATAGTTACTCTAAACAGTGCTCTTTTATAAATTCGGCGGTCCGTCCAAAAACACTCCGTGCAACATTTTGAAAAGTGAGATGTAGTTAGAGAGGTTGTATAATGATTACTTAAGAGACAAGGACCAGCAAAGAAAGAGGCTTAGTAAGGAAACTTCCATGAGAAATAATGCAAATTCGAGATATATCCTAATTTGGTTCGTTTTATTTTATTTGTAATGTCTAATAACTAAATAGAAGACAGCCACATAAGAGGACAGAGTTTATATACATTTATTAATTATAACTAGTGAGAACACTGAACCAATGCTTTCCATTGAACCGAAACCCCACTAAACTAAGTAGCACGGATATAAAAAGAACTGGAAGTAAAGAATAATGCCAAACAACCACTTGGTTCGTTCGTGAAAGGTTCCCGTCGCTATTTAGGAGTACGATGGTTTTTATGTGTACGAGGTATTTATACACTCGGGTCGTATTTATATATTTGTTCGTTAAATACGTGATGATAAAGGTTCTTGTGTCATTTTTCAGAAGTAAAAGTAGTTGTGTGTCTGAAATTTAGAAGGTTGTGCGTACGTGCGCGCGTGTGTGTTTGTGTGTATAACTGTGTGTAAAGAAAACCAGTAATACAGTAATATAAAGGTTTGATGTAAGTTTTTAATGATTCTAGTGAGTTAAACTTTGCAAAATAGACTTGTGAGTTTACAAGAAAAAGAAATTAACTTAACTTTGAAATTTTAAAACTTTCAAACTTTTATCAAACGCCAAATGCTAGTGAAATAATTTTTCCTAGAAAATAATTTTTCAAGATTCTTTGCTCATTGAAGGTGCATTGAGTTGATGCGAAGAACTGGCGCTAAATTTTATTTTTTTTTGTGGAAGTTTCAGTGCGGGGTTTTGCGGTTTTTAAATAAAATATCCAACCATTCAAACAAAAAATTTTTTAAAAGTAAAAAAAAATGCCTTACAGGGATTACGCAGACGATAAAGGTACGAATTTTGGAAATTTAGATTTTGTAGTTAACTTTAATTTTAATTAATTTGAATGTTAAACTTAAACATCAACACTTCATCAGTGATGGCCAACCTAACTTCTAACTTAAAATTCTAGAAGTAATTATTTAGTTGTCATTCAAATTCAAGAAGATCGTAAAAAAAATTTGAGCATCAACCGAACTAAGTTTTCAGTTTTTAATTTTAAGAACCCCACCATTTTCTTATAAATTTTTTAATTCTTTCAACTGAGATTAAAATATTAAATGAAAATCAGATAAAATCTTATTTTTAATTTCTGATTTATATTTACAAAAACGTTCCCCATTTAGAAAAAATTCATGCATTCCTGAGTGAATACTATGAGGATAGAGAGGATGGTGGCAAGTGCTTCCTCTATGGCCAACAAATGGTGGGTAGGAGATTAAAATGTAGTACAAATAACACATATGACATGACTTCTTAAATGTCTTAAATTTGTATTTCAGTTAAGTCTATTTATTAATTTACTTCGCTACAACTATATTGTTCATTAATTAGTAACTAATTTCAATTAAATTAATTAAATGGATCTTTATTATTGTTTCAAGTGTAATAATTATGATATAATCTTTATAAAGAATTAGGATCAAAATTTATTAAAGATTAAATGAATGTAAACAGAAAAAAATTAACAAAAATAAATAATAATTTTCCAAAAATGAAATTTCGATTTCACCATCTTTCTGCAGACCAACATAGCCCACAGAGAGCAAGTAGAGATGGTGATTGACCTGGATCATGTGGCTGACCACGATGCTGACCTCTGTGAGGCCATTGTGGCCAACACAAAACGATATGTAACCGTCTTTGCAGACGTTGTTCATGAACTTCTTCCTGGCTACAAAACTAAGGAGGTTGTAGTGATGTGATGTTGATAAATTTGTAATAAATTAATAGCATTATCAATAAACATTATAAATAAAAGTATTTTTAATTTCTCATTCCCCATTTAGAAAAACATGATATCTTGATGATATGTTTAGGATAATGATGGCATTATGATACAATGAAACGATGATAATACAATGATAATATATATATATTTGATATTATGATATGTGCTGGTAAGGATCTGAATGATATCAATTGCAATAGATACTATCAGATGATAGATAAATGATGAAAGTGATTATAGTAGGTAATAATAACAATGATAATATGGCGATGTTGGTGAGTTGACAACTTTTTTTGATGATAAACTCTGCAGATCGTTGCAAAAGACGCACTTGACGTCTACATTGAACACAGGCTCCTAATGGAGCAAAAACTTCATCCTCAAGGTCAGCAGGAGGTCACCAGAGATCCAAAGAACAAATATCCTCCAGAATTATTGAGGAGATTGTATGTTCTTTGGGCAAATTTATTTTTTTTGAATTAAATTTTAAAATTTTAATCAGTGATTTTTGTTCAAGGCAGTTTTTTTATTTTTCTTCAATGATGTTCATAACTATGTGCTATTGCACAGGTTGAAGTGATTCGCAGTATTAATATAATATATTTTGCATTGAGTTCATCTTTTATTATGAGCATTCAAATGGAGAACAACAGAGGACAGCAATTATATGTGAAACTTTTCATTCTCCAACAAGATACTTTTTCTAATTCCATCCATTCATTCATCCATACATGCAGACATCCATCCATTTTTGGTGCTCTTCAACCATTCATTTATTTATCCATCCATTTAGGAGCCCGTGTATCCATCCATCCATTCATCTATCCATTCGTCCGTCCATCCATCCATTTATACAGTGAGGTAGCCTTTAAAGCACCCAACAGTCAGAAATTTTTGGCCATTCGAGATGTGAAGGCTGACAGCATTGGGAAGTTGGTTTGTGTGAAGGGCATCGTTACAAGGGTCACAGAGGTCAAGCCTATGATGCAAGTGGCCACTTATACTTGTGACCAGTGTGGAGCAGAGACCTATCAACCGGTTTGTTGGTTGGCTGATTGGTTGGATGGTTGGTTGGTTGGTTGGTAATAATTTTCATGTTTTTTTAATACTGAAATTAAATAAATGTCTGTTGGATTTTTCTTATCTTCACATGTTTCTTTTATTAATTGTTCTGTTAGAACTGTTTTCAAAATTTAAAACACAAAAAACCATTAGCTTTGCAAGGATTTACGTTACCTACAATAAATGTATAGTATGTGACACAACTTTAACTTTGTTAGGTGACCTCGACCTCGTTCATGCCCTTGACCTTCTGTCCGGGTCAGGAGTGCACCACCAACAAGTCTGGTGGTCGTCTGTTTCTGCAGACGAGGGGGTCAAAGTTCACGAAGTTTCAGGAAATCAAGATTCAAGAACATGTGGGTAGATGATGATGATGATTGCAGTTGATGATAAAGATGGTCTTGGTAAGTGTTAAGGTACAAGGAAGAGTAAGAATTTGATTTAGCTTTCTATTTTGATCAAAGAAACTTCACACATGATACAATTATAATGACAATAATGATGCTGATGATGACGACGATGATGACGTCATCAATTCAAAACTGTAGAGTGACCAAGTTCCAGTTGGGAACATCCCAAGAGGAATGACAGTCTTCTGTAGGGGAGAGGTCACCCGAATGTGCCAGCCTGGGGATCATGTCAGCATAACTGGGGTAAGTTAGTTGAATTTTTGGTTGGTTGGTTTGTTGGTTGGCTGGCTACCTGGTTGGTAGGTGGTTGGCTGGCTGGCTGGCTGGATTTTTTCTTCTACATCTTTCTACTTATTTTTAATATCCTTTATATTTTGGGTGGAAAGTTTTAAACTCGTGGATAAATTACTCAGACTCACTTTTTTATAATTTGATGAATTTCACTTTAAATAATTTAATTAGATATTTGATGAATTAGAAAAATAATTTTATTGTAATGAATTTTAGTAAATTGTAATGAATCGTAATGGTCTTTAGTAAATTGTAATGATTTATAATGAATCGTAATGAATTGTTAAGAGTTGTAATAAATTGTAATCAACTGTAATTATTTTGTAATCATTTGTAATAAATGAACTCTGCAGATATTTTTACCTCTGTTGAAAACTGGATTCAAACAGATTGTCCAAGGATTGCTTTCTGAGACATACTTGGAAGCCCATGTTATTATTTCTTAATTATCATCATTATTATTATTATTTAATATTGTATTATTTTCTTTGTTATGATTTGGTTAGCAGTTGTTATGTAAATCTGATGATTCATGTGAGGCTTCATGACCATTGCTGACGTCATCGTCAAATTTATAACCGTGCATGCATTTTGGTTCAATCATTTCCTGCCGGAAACGACATCAACTTGTCATCATTTTATATTTCCATAAATTTTCTTCAAGTTTTTTTATTGACTTTTATTATTTACACCATAAAACCACATCACCACATCATCACCATTGCAACCACATCACAACCAGAGAATAACGAAGATGAACAAGACAGAAGATGATGAGTTGGACGCCACTGAACTAACTCCAGAGGAACTCAAAAGAGTTGCAGGTTAAGATCCTTCCAACATCATCATCATTATTGTCGTCGTCATCATCATGTTATCATTATTATCATCACCACCACCATCATCATCATCAGAGGATGATTTCTATGACAAGTTGGCGGGCAGTATAGCTCCAGAGATTTTTGGCCTGGATGACGTCAAGAAAGCCCTACTCCTGCTTCTTGTTGGAGGGGTTGATAAGTCACCCAAGGGAATGAAGATTAGAGGTTTTGTATCTGTCTGTCTGTCTGTCTGTGTTTGTCTGTCTGAATGTTTGCATGTCAATACGCATGTATGGAGGCATATAATTGTATTGTTTACTGATATATTCTTAATGTTAAAACATTTATGCTTGTGGATTTTGTCATTTTTTTCATCCATACTGATATGTTGTTTGACACATGTGAGAACTAGCTCTATAGTATTCATTAGCTTTTTAATCAATATTATGCTATTTTTATTATTATAACTATTGTAATCGTTGTTATCATTATTTCATCTTGACCTTGACTTTTACCCTTGACCTTGACACAGGTAACATAAACGTCTGTTTGATGGGTGACCCTGGAGTTGCCAAGTCTCAACTGCTTGGCTACATCGACAGACTGGCCCCAAGAAGTTTGTCATTTTTGTTTTTACCTTTTTGTTGTTTTTGAATTGCTATTTTATGTCTATTTATTTCTATTATCTATATTATATTTATTTATATTATATTTAATTATCTGTTTATATTTTTCTACTTATTGTTTCATCATCGTCCTCATCATCACCACGTGGTTGGTCGTCATCTCAACGTTCACCGCACCGCCGCCATGACACCAACCGTCACCACACCAGCCACACCTCACCAGCCACACTACACCACCACGAAACTAGGTCAGTACACTACGGGTCGAGGGTCATCTGGGGTCGGATTGACGGCGGCTGTCATGAAGGACAGTATTACAGGGGAAATGACCTTGGAGGGTGGGGCTCTTGTGCTTGCCGATCATGGTAATAGTTTTATTATTATTGTTGTTTTTAATGTTGTTTTATTTTTATTGTGATTATATTTATTTATTCATCATTATCAACATCAAAGGTGTCTGCTGTATTGATGAGTTCGATAAGATGCTCGACTCTGATAGGACCGCCATTCACGAGGTCATGGAACAGCAGACAATATCTATTGCTAAAGTCAGTCCGTCCGTCTGTCTTGTCTGTCTGTCTGTCTGAGCATCTTTCTGTCTATATGTCTGCATCTTTGTCATTTCGTGTATCTTTCTGTCTGTCATCTGTCTTTCTCTTTGATTTCATGACATTATTCAATTCTCTCATATTGGAACATTTCCCCTCACCTAACCATATAATGATTAGCAATGTTATGAATAGTTTCTACTTTTATAGATTTTATTAATTGACAGCCGAATAAATAATTAATTTATGCAATTTTAAATACTCTATGTGACCTTAATAGATATTTATGCGACCCAAT